TCATGTTGTTGTAATTTAGAGTTGATACCAATCAACGCTTCGATAATTGTAGGTGATGTCTCAGTGAAGAACTCTAGTTCCTTGTAGTGTAGTGCTTTGGCGTATGCGTGGAACTTCTGCGAAATCTCTCCGAGAGTGCGGTTCTCAATAGGAAGAGTCTTCTCCTCATGCTCCATGAACTCGGCCAAGTTCAGCAGCCGATGGACTAGGTCAGAAGGTGCGATAGGAGACGATATGGCGTACTCGATAGAGCGAACAAGATCTTCCTGAAAGAGCTAGATAAGCAATGATACTGGGAAGCCGGGGGTTCCTCACGAACCTGATACTGATCATACAATTCAGACCAACAGGAGAGAAAGGCGGCATTGAAAAGCTCCCGCGCAATAGGATTGTGGACATCGACTAGACTCATGCAGGCACGAAGTGCGTGGGAAGGAGATTCCTTCATGAATTCCACTGAGAGTCGCTGCATCCATTCGTCCCAGTCTTCCCGAGTCGCGACTTGAGATACGTCCCAGGCTTGTTTCAGATGCTGCTGATTGACCACCATCTTCGTTGCTTCAGCGGGAGCAGAGTATTCAGTGATTTTTGCTCCCTCCGTCGACCTTTCGCAAAAATCAGCACAAGTAGCTTCTGAGCTCGTCAATGCAACTAACGGAATATCTAATGCTGTCGAATCCTGAGGTAGTCGCTCTCCGTTGAGTAGCTTTACGATAAGGTTGTCGTACTTGAGATGAGAAACACGATTTTTGCGCAAGGCCTAGAAAAACATATGTTAGATTTGATGGTCCTAATCAGGTTATAACCCTTACTTTCTCGATGGTTGGGATGAACACTGCGAAATCTGAGCCAAGTTGCATTACTAGCGCGGATAGCGTATCCATGACAGCTATTTTCAGCTCATGGGACTGGCTGTTCAGAACACGAGCCAAAGAGAGGATGATTCGCGAAGCGTGGTCAGAAAAGTTTACTCTTCTGGTCAGACCCTCAACAGTCTGAACAGCACTCCTCCGGAGGGCAATCGTGGCGTCAGGTCTCTCGTACGTTTTGACGATAATGGGAATGACGAGTTGGAGGTACTCCTCTATGTTGGCGCCAAAAGTCAGGAACGCGTCGAAGATCTTCATCTGCGTGTTCGCGGTCTTCTCGTTCAGTTCGCCATCGAACACCTTCAGCAGCAAAGGCAAGATAGTGGGAAGGAATGGCTTGAATTCTGCATCGAGAGCCTTACCGAGCGATTCCACAAGTGAGACCAGGGGCAGCTGGAGCGAGATGTTATCCCAAAGATCGGTAATCAGTGTGAATAAATCGTTCATGTGGTTTCGGATATGTTGTTTCACAATGCCAACGAGGATAGCGAGTTGTTCAAGGTGGAATACTTGTATCCGAGCAGCTGAGGTCCGAGCTACTTCCGTAAAAGCCGGAATAATCTTCGATATCACATATCAGCTACATGCTGTATTGTACGTGGAAAAAGACTTACCTGCGGCAAAAAAGCCACACACTTCAATCCCTGTGTTTTGAAAATCGACATGATTGCTTCGATAACTTTATGATGCTGGCCTGTCTGCGATTGATCGCGCAAGATACTGAGTAAAGCATTGATAGCAACTGTTTGGTAGTAATCGTCTGGTGACGAGCCTGGCCCAGAAAGAGTTTTCGCTGCGACATTGTTCACTAGAGCAGAGTTTTCCAGCTCGGTGGCAGCCTCTTCTTCGGGTTTGCTCTATCGGTTTGCAACAGAAAACAAGTAGTTAGACCAATTGGCCTCAGAGTATTCCGGCAGGAGCACAGTGTTGCGGCTTACCTTTCGCCGATATGGATCTAGAGCACCCAATATACCAAGCACTTTAATGACTTCTCGCCGAACACCCTGGTTATTCTCTGTCCGTAGGATACGACTGAGAACTGGGAGGAGCTGAGGGTGATCCAAAAGCGGGGTAATAACATATCCTGTGCTGGAACAGACTTGTCCAAGCGTATGCAGAGCAGCGTCTCGTTTCACGACAGCTGGATCAGACAGTCGCGCGATGATCACATCCATGAGGTCCGGCACATGAGGTAGAACATCTTCGCCACCGACAGACGCAAGTTCGCCTAGACACATTATGACGTTAGCTGCGACAGTCGCGTTGCTGTCCGACGCTTTTGGCAAAAGTACGCGAAGAATCGGGATAGCATAAGGCTTTATGAGGCGCTGGGTTGCGCTGACAAGCCGCGTCAGGAGTCGGGTGCATTCTTCACGGTTGCGCCTATGCAGTCCGTCAAAGGCATTCAACAAGGGCTAGAGAGACGAAAGGCATACATGACACTGCTGTATTCCAGCTCCGTCAACAGCTGGATCAGGGTCTTTCTCAGATTAGGCATAACATAGGCAGGGTTGTGTCCAGAGAGTCGGCCAATAAGAGCCACAGCAGCGAGTCGATTATCAAAGACTTCGTCGTTGAGCGCGATGAAGAGCGAGCGAACGTTCTCAGCCTGTGCAAGGTGCTTGTCGAAACGTTCATGCAGAGACGAGAGAACCGCGTTCCGGATGCTCGAGTCTAAAACAAAAAAGGTTTGACCTGAGGAGCGCAGTGTCTTGTTGACCACACATACCTGGATCAGCGATACCCACAGTGAGCAGTTTGTCGATGACATCGCCAACAATCTCGATGGAATGATTGCTTGCTTGATAGCATATCGGATCCTTGATGAACAAATGACAGCAAGTAAGCGCAGCAGCACGCCGAATAGCAGGGTTGTCATCCTCGAGGTAAGGCAAGGCATTGTCCCTGACAAATTCGTTCAGAACGTGACCTATGGGCGAACCTACATGAGTATGGTAGCGCAGAGTGTTGTGAGCGATCAATACCGCTAAAATCGAATGTGCCCATGATAGTCAGAGCCAGGGTAATAGTTTCCGGCCGATGCGTCACTGCTGCACCCTGGGAAACATGTAGCTTGCCTAATTAGTCACGCTCATCCTGTTTCCTGTAGAGATTGACTTACTTCTGTCGTACTATGATCCCTAGCCATAGTAATCGCTGTACCAGATGATTCATTTCTGAGCAAACTGGTTGGCGGAGCTCCGAGTGGCTTATAGCTCGTGCCGCTCAAAATCATCGACAGCATGTCTAAGAGGCGCTCTGTGTACCATACGGCATGTCAGCTTGAGTTCACTTAACGATTAGAGTAGCAGCACATACCTTGGATAGTCCTCAGAAGAGGCGGTATGTACTGTGCAATGGCCACAAGAGCTTGGTGCAAGGGTTCACTCAACTCGCAGTCGAACATCAACTTCAGCTGGTCATGCAGCAGCTTTGTCAAATTCGGCCCTACTGCAGACGCAAGCATGCCGATGCATTGAAACATTGGCTCCTCGGAAGGGGCATTCTTCTTCCTAGAAGACGAGAGGGCACTTTCAGTACAGGAAACATTATGCAGGAAGCATGTCAGCTGCCCTGGGATTGACGCACCCGTGCATTTGCAGTCCTTGCTTGATTTGTGACATAATAGTGTCCAAGAACGGTTTCATCTCACTTCCGACTGCGCTAGCGACATGGCCGATGGCAATGAAAGCTGCGGGACCAAAGCATACACCGAATAAAATGTTAGCAGCGATCAGCGTGCGCAAGAAATGCTCACCAAAACTGCGCTCAGCCGGCTTTTCCAACATACTCAGAAGATGGGCCATGGCTTTGTGCAAGTGGTGCTCCGCGAAAGTTTGTGTGTCATACGCGGCGAGCGTCGGGATTAGGGTGATGACCATCTTTCGCACATGAGGATCTCGATGCATCTTGAAGGTGAGAATCTGCTCAGCGGTATCGAGGAAAGTATCCCTCATAAACTACGCAAAGTAAACAGTATATCATTCCGACGGCTCTTCCACAGGTAAGGCGGGAGTAATGCGTACCATACCACCGTGGAGAAGCAATTCACGGTAGGTCAGCAGGCTTCCATGTATGATCTCCGGCTGGTTCATTTTGAGTCCGTTCTGCGCGTCCTGTAGTATCTTCATCAAGTAAGGATTACTCCTTGGCTGTCTCTCCCTCTGCGCAACTATTCCTAAACAAGCCGCGAGCAGTTCAGCAGCACCTTCTCTGACAAGGACGCGCGGATCTCTGATAGGCACCAGTATCTTCTCAAACACGAGCCCGATGTGAGGGTGGAAGTATATTGGACTGTTCTTCGCGAGCTGCTTCAGAATCAGCACTCCGGCATATCGAGACGTGTCTGAAGACGACGAAGATGATGAGGACGAGAAGGTCGATGAGGAAGTGGAGGAGGAGGGCTGTAGCAGCTCGATCGCTGCTCCGACTTCAAAGTCCATGAAACGTTCGCCAAAAGCTGCGCCGCCAATTTTCGAAATCTGTCCTAGAGTGTGGGATGCAGATAGCATGATGTTAATGTCGGGATTAGGAAGTAGAGCTTTGACATAGTTGAAGAATCGGAATAGGTTGCGCTTCGATTCTATATTGCCTTCCCCGTCGGCTTTCAAAAGGTAATCTGCGCGTATCCATCAGCAATGCAGGGCACGTCAAGAGTCATCCGACAGTCAGCGAATAGCTTGGAACGCCACAGTCAAGGCACACACTCACCAATGGCCAATATGCCACCCATCTTCTCGTGGTTCGCCTGACTGTGCACAAGATCGAACAGCCTCCTGTTGATATTTTCGTCCCACTGCTTCGCCGCAGCGTCGGATGCCATCTCAGGGACTGTATTTAAGACCTACATGGGTGTCGCAATTCACAAGTCAATGCATAGACTAAGTGCAACGGCCGGAATACGCACATAACGCTGCAACTCGATTGCGCTGGCAGTTCTCGTGTCCTGGTTCCTACTCTTCAGCCCTGCAAATATCTGATCCAATACGTCCGCTTGCATAGTCGTCGCCATGATGTTGGAGGCACCTTGCGAGGTGCAGATGAGCACCTCTAAATGAGCAGTGCAAGCCTGTATTGGGCAGGAAGATTGATTGATCAAACTAGTATAATTATTATAATATCAATAATCACGGCCTGGTGGTCTAGTAGTATGATTCCTTCTTAGGGCTTTTCATTGGTCAATTTGGAGGAGGTCCCGGGTTCAATTCCCGGCCAGGCCCGGCTTTTTGTACGAATTTGTCATCTACATGTACAGCCGAATATCCAGCTCTAGTTTGCAAGCAAATATACGAATCCGCGTAAGCTTCGCATCGTTGCCAGCTGCTTGATTTCGTTATAAGACTATGCTACGATACTAGGTCGTAAAACTTCGAAAGGCATGCTGGACTCTTTATCACCAGTCATACCAGAAACCGACAACACATCTCACGCTTCGTCCGGAGCACCAGACCTGCCCGGCGGACGATGATATGCCCCGCGTCCAGCAAACCCAATCCTAAAGGGTGTCATCCCACGCCCCATCGTCGGCATCGCAGGGAGGCCTCGAGTAGGAAACGCCCCAGGCATGTTTGCCTCCGGGTATTCTTGGTGCTGAGGCTCAGTTTTACCAGCCTCTTCTCTCAAAGCAGGCGGACTCGCCGGTTCATCCGCGCCAGGCTATTTCTGCATGTCAGCAATGTCGCGCATGTTCATATATCCCAAACAACTTCATACCTCAAGATCAATGACAAGCGCACCCATATGCCATCCCGCGGCGGCAGCGGCGAAGCAGTACCTCTCCTTCCCTTTTCGTCCCATTTTCTCTTCCTCCCAAGTGAATCTCACCTCACCTGGGACACTCGTCTCTTTGGGAATCATGCCACCCCTCCTAGCTCTTGTCTCACGGATCGAACGGTCTTTCTCCTGCTGTGTGGTGAATCCACCAGGCGCACCTACCTGGATGTCATTCGGGTCACCCAGTCCTAAAGCGCCCTTAGAGAAAGCACCCCATGTAAGAAGTTTGCCCGTTGTAGTAAGAGCACCGAAATGGTAATCCCCAAGAACGACAGAGATGACGCAGTTGTGCGGTGCCTGGAGTGTAGGAAGTATAGTTGGTTTCAGAGGTTGGGGAGGGAGGATAGATGAGTTGGTAATGGTGGGATGAGTGAATGATGGATCGTCGTCGATGTTGCCCATGAGGACAATGCCGGGGTTAGGAGAGTAGGCTGTGAATGTCTTGAAATGGCCCGAGATCTGCAACAAAGGCGTTCTTTAGGGAGTGCTGGGTATACATATATATATATTAGGCGAAACCAGGCCTTACATGAGATATCGTCATGTCATTCGGTACCTGTAACCCATTCTTTGGGTCCGTCCATACCAGGTCTTCCTGTACCTTCTCTACTTCGCTGAAGTAGGGTAACTAAACATTCAACAGCGCCAGACGTCAAGTGAGTGAAGGAGGCAACATCCAAGATCCTGACGACTTACATACTCCCACTTATTTCCCTGTCTCTGCGCGGTTTCTTGACCCTCCAATCCCTTGAACCTCACAACATGTCCTTTGTTCGTCAGCCCAACAAGGGCATTATCTAAACCCGCAATCTTCACAATCTTTGTGTGCTCATCTTTACCCCGTTCACTGGCAGGCCGGGAAAGACTTGGAAGGTCGTATTCCTCCAAATCGGGCAGCTTGACCATAATTTGTCCCTGCTCAAGAACTTCTTGACCTGCGTCGTTGCGGTATGAATCATTGGAAGGTTCGGCGTCGACGCTCCAGACATGGCATCTCACTCTCGGTGGGTCCTCCGCTTTCTTGCCAGATCCCTCTAATCGGGCATAACCGACCTCTTGGTCGTCGAACTCCTCGTTCATTCTGTATACCTGCCGCCCGAGACGATCAGTTCCGTTAGGTCTAGGCCAGAACACAAAGACAGCTCCAGAGGATGTGAGAACGGCGGTGAAATTCCAACCGCATTCAACTTGAATGGGAGCGGCGGGCGCGCCATGGGTCTCGCTGGGATGAGCGGAAGTCGAAGCAGAATGAGTTGAAGTCGAAAGAGATGAAAGGGACGACGTAAAATATCGTGAGTTCAACAAGAAGGGACGGCCCCACGATACAAAATTGACGACCTGGGAGGAGGTCGTAAGGGCAGCAGCATGCAAGCGTCCGCAGCTGGCGAAGACGTTAGCGATTGACTGTTAAAGGACAGTCAGAAAGATGTACCTGATGCTACGGATAGAGAACGGGAGCTCTAGACGGGTTGCCGGTGCTGCTGGCTTGTGAGGGTCGGAGAAGCCGTCTGAATGAAGACCAAAGTTGGTCCCGTCCAGTGTACCTGTTGTAATACCACATCAATTGCCTGTTCGATGGCCATATGTCAGATGGCGAATACCCCAGACCCATATATGCCCCTGAGAGTCTAACGCATGAAAACACCTTGGGAGACAATGTGAGCAAAGTAATGGAAATCCGAGAGTACCCACATTCCTCCAGCAACCAAGCTGACGACTTTCACTCCGGGTGGAAGACGCAATTCGATAGGGTATGGTGTCCCTTCATATACGGACGTCTGGGGTAGTTCGCGAGGACCCAGACCAAGCCTTCGTCTGGAATTCTCTCTGTAAACGAATGAGCAGCAGTCGTAGGACCATGATATGCTGTACTTACCCCCAGACATAGACCTTCGGTTTCGCCAATCTCCTGTATATAAATTTCCATCCAGTCGTCCTGGCAGTGTCGTTTCCGGAGAAGTTGTAGTCAATCAATAGCCTGCGTTTCCAAAACGTTTCGTCCGAAGCGATTAGATAGAACAGCTTGGACACTGCGGAGAGATTTGCGATGGCTGCGACTGGCAGAAAAGGGAGTAAGTTGTCAATGATAACTTCCACGGGTAGTGACACAAGGCCTGGCATTTCTGTTGTGTCGTTGTGTCTTGGTTAGATGAGTGTAAGTAGCAGCAAAGGACAAGTGGGAGGTTGGAGGTCGACCTGGTCAGTCGCTGAACAGTTCAAGTGGCAGTGTCTCCTATCGATGACATCAACCACATTGACCCTCGCGGACTGCGGCCGGACGCTTAGCATCAACATTCAACAGCAGTTCAAACTTATAAAGTCTCCTCCAGCTGCGCGCAGGTCAATCGTAGGTCGTGATAGCTAAGCTTCAGAGTTCATTACATGCAGCCTACGCTAGTCGTCGTCGTCCATTGTGCTCCGTGTCAACCTCTGCAAAATGTCTCCATCGACAGCACCTGCAAATACCATAGATTCTTCGTTAGTGTTCGTGACAGATAGTGTCTTGAGCAGCGAAACGCAGACACGAAAGTAACAACCACACTCACGTCCAGCGCCACTGCGATGTTTTCCCCTGTAGGAAGCTAAGGAAGAAGATCCATTCATGCTCATGCCAAGCAAGCTTGTATTCAATGCACCACCCATTGGTGATGGTGAGCCCGGCAATGAAGATGCAAAGGACGACCCAAAAGAGGTATCTGCACCACCAGCACCCGATACCGTTGAGTAGTTGAGCATCCGTGAGGGGGACGACGCTGGAGAAGATGCGTAGAAGCTTGAAGAAAATGATTTTTGGGGTTGTGGTGCTGACTATTATTACAACGCACAGTCGTGGAGATGGGCCAATGGTATCCAAAAAATGCGAGGAGAGAAATAGAAAACATGTGTCAGGACTTCAAAATTTCTCAGTTGTGCGTGCACGTACAGTGGGAGTACTTGCAATCAGTTTACGTTGTGACTGATTCAATCCTGCAGAGCCATCGGGTGACTTTACTGCCCCGCCCATCGGTTTGGGTCTCGGCGTAGATGGCGTAGGCTGTGGTAGGGCTGGTGGCGGAAAACGCAGCGCGTAGGTTGCTTGCAGTACATTGAAAGTGAGAGTTGCGAGGACGACGATTTCTATTCCGGTGACGCCGTGATGTCGATATGCCGAGTGGATTGCACAGCAGACAAGGACGTTGGATACGCGATTATGAGTTATGCTCACAATGAGTGAATGGTGTAGGACACTCACCAGCAAGACACAGCACCCACCACACCGTCACCGCTTCCCTCCCTTTGAACCTATAGTTATAACTCTGCCACACAAGCCGTATAGCCTCATACGGCCCAGGAAGAGGCAGCAGATTTGTTGCGATAAGGACGACGAATAGTCCCACCCCATTTGTGCGTACACGTGCGACAGCTTCAGAACGCGGTGGTTTAAGGCGATCGAGAATGGTAAATGAGGCCATAGTTCGTTACACAAAGGGTCGCTATACCGTTGCGTCTGTCTTTAATGGCGTCAACTAAGTTGTGCAGAGAAGCTGAGTACGCGCGACAAGGTGGACGTCAGCAAGAGAGGTGTTGACAGTGTTGAGCGACACGGCCTCCTGCTGGCGGGAGCTGTCACGACGGGGAGCTCACGTGAAACGTGACATAGCGCGGATGTGACCATGTTACGCGGCTCGGGTTATGCCCGAAACATTCTAGGATTAACTCGGTGCGACTGCGAGACTGCTGGCCTTACTTATCATCAATCTTCAAGGAGGCTGCATGTCGACTTTCGTCCCTCCTTGATTCTGACTCTCATCTCGACAACATTGCTGAAGAAACGCGCTCTTTGATGAGCACTAATTCCGAGGCCGAGATATGAAGAGTCGATCTGTATGGAATGGTCGCGCGAATGAACCTGAAGGAAACGGAGACGTGGCGGGCTACATCGCTAAGTGCTCTCACTCCGTGTTCAGGATTCACTCAAGCTCGGACCTCTGAGCTGAGCTCCTTGCAATCACTATACCTTGTGATGTTGATGTCCTGAGGTCCTGAGCCACTTCTCGCAGTGATAGTGGTGCAGCACTCATCTGCTCAAAGCCGCCTCAGATGCGGCTTTGTTAACTGCGGGATGTGATGAAGCTTGGGGGGGGGGGGGGGCGCAAGGCGGAAGAGGTAGGTGTAGGGATGAAAATGCTGAATGTTTTGCTAGGTACGTTCACACCCTCTCCTGTGCGTACATGCAGCTACGGTGAGGGTCAACGAATCGAGGTGGATGCATGAGTGAATGGCTGTTCGTGTTAGGTGTGATGTACGCGGCGCAGTCGTACACCACACTGAAGAAACCAGTACGTATGCACCCTATGTTCCGATGACTGCTTCAACTGAAGGCATCATCATCCTTGTTACGGCGTTACTAAGACGCATTTTGCTATACGTGTACCGGTACGTCTGCGATCTCTCACCGGACTTGATT